CCCCAGATTCATAGGGTTTTCACTCGGCACATGACCAAGGAGAGTAAAGAAGAGAAAAAATAGGGAGAACTGTACCAGTCGTAGCTATTCTGTAGTCCAGAATCAGATTTCTTTTCTGCTAGTTTGTAGGAGCAAAGAGTAAGATGGACTGGGGTTAGGTAGGTTAACTCTCAAGAATAAAGTCCTATTAGGAAAATGGTTGTGGAGGTGGCCTAGAGAAAGGGAGAGATTGTGGCATGAAGTGATAGCTAGCATACATGGAAGACTGGAAAACGGATGGGATGCGGGTGTATCAAGACAAGCAACGTTGGCATCTCCTTGGAAAGCAATCCAAAGTATCCTCCCTCAATTTCTCAACTTTGTCGGGTATGATGTCAATTCTGGTAACCTTGTTTTATTTTGGGAAGACACTTGGGTGGGGACTGCTGCTCTAAAGGACCAATTCCCGTTTCTTTATTCTATTTCCCTTTACAAGGAAAAAGCTATCTCCCATTTTCTTCCATCTCCTTTTTCACCTTCATCCTTAACTTGGGATTTTGGCTTTCGGAGAGGTTTGAGGGATGATAAACTTAACAATGTCTCAGATCTGTTGTCCCTTCTTGGCAGTGTCTTTTTGGACCCTCTTAGTTTGGATGTGAGATTATGGTCCCCTAATCCAAAAGGGTACTTCTCTTGTGCTTCTTTTTTGAAGTCCCTTTCCTCTTCCCCAAGTCAGAGGGGTTTTCCGACCAAGGAGATCTGGTTTAGACCTGTTCCACCAAAAATTGTTATTTTCTACTGGAAGGTGCTTTATAGAAATATTAATACCTTGGACTGCTTGCAAAAGAAAAGGCCTTTCATTTGTTTATTCCCTAACTGGTGTGTACTTTGCAGGGCTAATGGGGAGGATTGCTCCCATCTACTTGTATCTTGTTCCTTTTCTAGAGCTATTTGGAGTTGGATTTTTTCTTTGTTTGGGTGTAGGTGGAATTTGTCCACAGATTTAAGTCAGCTATTCGATCCTTCTTTTTTGTGTGACCTACAAAAAAAGGAAAAATGATGTGGAGATGTATTAGAGCAGCCGCATTGTGGACAATTTGGGAAGAAAGGAATGCAAGAATATTCAAGGAAAAGGAAAGAAGCATTCAGGTTGTTGAGGATTGCATCTTGATTAGGGCCATTCATTGGTTGAGAACTATGGACCTCTTTCATACTTTTTCCTTTGATGATATTTGGAGAAATTGGTTAGTGGTGGCTAACAACCATACAAGGAAGGACAGGGTTTTTGCAGTGTGGACCCCTCTGCCTAAAGGATGGGTAAAGCTGAATTTTGATGGCAGCAGCCAAGGAAACCCAGGCCCATCGAGAATAGGAGGGGTACTAAGAGATACGGAGAGCAATATATTAGCCTTGTTTTCAGGTCCTGTGGGATTAGGAGACTCTAATAGAGCTGAGATTTTGGTGGCGGTACAAGGGATTCAGATTGCAGAACAATTAGGAGTTCAGCATTTGGTAATTGAAGGAGACTCTCAAATTGCTGTGGGATGGCTGACAGATCCAGCTTCAGCCATGTGGCAACACAACGATTTATAAAGGAAAGTCAACCGGTTTACAAGAAATATGACAGTTACCTTTCGTTGGGAGGGAAGATCTGCAAACACCTTAGCGGATGTATAGCTAAGCAGGGGGCTACCAGGGAACAGTTATTTTGGGCTGCTTTGTAATTGTATTTATGACTAATTCTGTTTTTTATTTGATGTAATACTGCACTGAAGAGGTAACAGCTCGTGCCTCTTTTGAGTTCCCTGTACTGCCTTTTCTGAATTAATAAATTATATTTATTCATAAAAAAAAGTGATGACATGAACCATAGTTACCAATTATCCAAGCTTGAACTCTATTTCATGCATGAGAAAAGGGCATCAAGGCATCAAAAGCATGCTCTATTATATGGTACTGTTTTTTCTTTTCTTTTCTTTTCTTTTCTTTTTCTTTTTAACAAACATTGCTAGAAATCTTGTTTCATCCTTGTGCTTCTGCACTTGGATGAATGAACATGTGCATTTCTGGGCTCCATGAATGAACATGTGCACTAGAAATCTTATTTCATCCTTAGTTGAATGAACATGTTACTAAACTTGAAAAGTGATGACTGAAGTGATATTGCATTAGGAAGAGTCTAGAACATAGGAATATAACAAAAAGTGTCAGAACTTATAAAAGAGGGGAGGTCTTTACATATTTCTGGTTTAACAGTAAAGACCAAGTGAAATTTACTACACCATTGTTGGTTTCTACATGGATCTGCAGAAAGGATTTCATTAGGAGGATGAGACAGCATAGAACAGCCACTTTTAGAGAAAGAGATTTCTAGTCCATATTGGATATTATAATAGAGGACGTGTAGACTGATGCATGCTGTATAATTTGGGAAGAAATTTCTAGAACATTTAGGAGTTAGGATGATGGTACTTTACTAAAGCACACTGTATAACTTTGATTTACATTAATAAAATTAACAATTGTGGATAAAGATGTGCAGAATTTCTGCTTGTATTTATAGTCTAATAGAAAGAGGCACTTTTGGTTTTTGGTCAGTGTTCTCTCAATACCATTATCTTCTTAATTCTTCTTCTTGTTCTAATAAATTTGTTTTTACTCAAGTCTCCTTTATCTCTCTGTAAAAGAGGTGGAAAATTTTTAAATCTACATTCTATAGGTTTCAGTTACATTATTTGCCCTTTTACAGCTGAAATTCTTATTTCCACCCTTTAAACACAGAAAAATGCAGCCTTACTGTCAACCTTATGTCTGGCCAATAAATCTGCAACACAGTTAGCTGTTCTAGGAAACCTCATAGAATCCTAGATGAGATGATGTTCAGTTTAGAAACCAAAAATATTGCTTATCTTACGAATAGTCTGCACGTGCAACCAGTAGCTGTCTGAGAGTCACCTTCTGCCTCAATGTGATAGTAACCTATGGTGGCCATCAATCTAAGGCCATGAACAGGGAAAAAATATCCTCTCTGATTGACTTTTATTGCATTGGATATGGAGAGACAAACATACACCCTAAAATTATATACTTAACAGGTAACAGTTTGAATTCGATGCCCCCTCTTTGCTTGATTACTATCTAAGAAAGATGAACAAATGTATCTGTTGAACATTGATAAAAGGTGTCTGACGTGAAACATTGAAAACATGAAAGGAGGCAGATCAGCAGAGTTTACTTACAAAAATAAAATGAGATGAAAGAGAATGCTTTGAAATTTAGATATAGGATGACTAATGTGTTTCAAACACAATATAGTTCATCTAAGTTGCAAAAATAAATGAGATGTAGCTAATATTTGGAAACAAATGTATATGATAAAATAATTTTCTCCTTGTACGATGGTTAGCATATGGTTCATGTGATGTAACCAGGACACTGTATCTGGGATGGTGAAAATTCAGAAAATTGATTGCCATCGTACATAGTTTAATCACATCCATATAAGCATACATAACAAAAAGAACTTATAAAAGAAGGGAAGAGACAGGAGGCATAGAAACGGTATATGTGTAGGGGGTGTCAATTGGACTGGATTTGGTTCAATCTGATCCAGTCCAATGTGTGTCCATTATAAATGGATCAGGTCCAATCCAATCCAATGAATATTTTGGACTGGTCTAATTTAATGTCTGGACCGTCCAATCTGTTCAAATTTGTATTAATTTAGATTGGTTCCAACCCAAACCTAGTCCATTAACACCTATATTCTTATCTTTTATCAATGGACCGGACATTGATTCAATCCAACTCAATCCAATAAATACTTTAGACGATTAAGTCTGGACTGGTCCAATTCATTATGTCTTATTGGTCCATTCAATCCATCCAAATTGATTTTGGTTGGACGGGGTCCAACCCAAAACTGGTCCATTGACACCCCTATATATGTGTATTTTTTTCTGTATGATGTCATATATGTATATGTCAGTATGTGTATATTTAAAACAGTTAATAATAATTCTTGGTACTTACTCTTGTGCTGCTGTGGGGAGGAGGAAAAGACCTGTGAGGCAAATGATGCTTGACATATGTGATATTCTTTCATTTCTTTGTAATACTATTTTTACAGTTATTGATCAAAATGATGATGATGATAGTAATAATAGTAGTTTACTTATAAAAAAAATAGTAATAGTAAAAGTAAATCAGGAACCTGGTTTACCACAGATGCTTTTTTTGGTGGGTTTCATTCTTGGATAATCATGGAAAGGCTCGGGGGTGACCCTTGTTTCTTCTTGGGTATTTTTGTAGCTTGATTTTATCTCCATCCCATCTTTTGCTCTGTTTTGGTTGTTTTTAATAGTTAAGTCATTAATAAAAATAATGCTTACTATATATTTTTTATTTTAAAGCAAAATAAAAAAAGATAAATTGCAGTTCCCTTGTAGTTTGATCATTTCTCTTTAGTGCTTGTATCCATAGAAAAAGGTATTAATAAGATGAAACACTGTTGTTTTTACCCTTCTTTGATGAAAGACGGTATTAATTGATGAAAATATATCAAGACTGCTGCCTCAAATGCTGCTGTTATGTACTTTGAAGAAGTTGATGTTGCCTTTTTCATTTTTTTGTGTGGGTTGACGTATTTCATTTCAATGAAATTTATGGTAGTGCATCACTGCAATTATTATTCTCAAATTGGATTGATGGACAGATTTTTATTACTGTGCGTTTACAGTTCTTACAGCTTGGATGATGAGAAATATGAGAATGAGAACCTTCCACTGAATGCATCAGATCCTGGACAGGTCTGTCAGATAAAACATTTCTCCAATTTGATTTCTGTTGTATGAGGATTTAAAATGGCTTTACTTAAATTCAAGCATATTGTTTAATTTGTGTAATCCATATACTGTGAAAGATTGCACGTGCTTTATATGATGTTGAAGAGGCGACCTGGAGTGCATTTGACATCATTTTTGAACACAAGGTATGACACAATTATCTGTCTAGATTATGTTATTATCTACCATAGTGATTCTTCAATTCAACTCACCTGTTTTCTTGTTCTGCAGATGATAAAATCAGAGACTCGGGATCCACTTATAAGGTTTCTTCAACTCTTGGTGGCTCATCACCCTTCCAGGAGGTTGAAATTGGACTTACCATTATGCATCTTTGATCTACTTAATAAGCTGCATTTAGTTTTACAAACAATTTTGTTTATCAGGTGTCGAAAGGGAAGTGCAGAAATACTTTTGAACTTTGATGATTTGTGGCCTTCAGATCTATGGCCAGTTAATATAGAAAAAAATGCAACTTATCATGGAAATGACGCATTTAAGGGTTTTCAGATTTGTGGAAAAGAAATTCCTCGTGGATATTGGGTGAGAAGAAAATTGCCATTAAAGTTTATACTTTTGTTCTATATTCTACACTAATCTTTAATCACTGTTTCATTCATAGAACTTGGAGTTAAGAGATCATGTCTTTTATTTAGGCAGAGTTTGGCTGTGTTTATTTGAAAAATAAGTGCTTATTCTAACAAGCGTTCATGAGTGTTTGGTGAAAAAACCCTTATTTCAAGCAGGGGCAGTATATGTATTTTCAAAATGACGTGGCGGGCCAAGGAATGCCAGAAAGGAAATAAACACTAAAAAATAAGCCCAAAAATTGGGCTTCTCGAATAAGTGCTTATCCCTGGGAATAAACACTTATTTGGGCTTTTATTTCCCAAACATAAATAAACACTTATTGGTGTGGTCCCGACCCAAAATAAGTGCTTATTTTTAAGCACTCCCAAACAGCCTTAAAGTTCTAACTTTTGGATAATCTTCATTAAGCTGTTAGTTGCATGTTAAGTTGCCTAGCTTATGAGAAGCAGAAACTTTAAAGTATAAATATGTCTTCACAAACCTTGATCACTATCCACCCAAGAGGGTCATAATTCCATGTTTCAGTTGAAGGCTTCATCAAGGTTCAAAGTATCGATACGATATGCCCCATATCAGGCATATTGTATTGTATCGGCAGGGTTCCAATACACTTGTTTAAAGGTGTTTTCAGGAACCCATTTGTTTTATTTATTAAATAATATAAAAATATTTATTAAAATGAAAATTTGAAAAAAACTTAAAAAAAAAGGCGCATGGTTTAAAGCACCGATGCACCCCTGCCGATACATTTGGGTGCATCGATACTTTAAACCATAGGCTTCATGCAAAAGATATGCTTTTTCATATGATAGTGATGAAGCATAATAATTCTGGTGGTGTTTAGATATTGTCATGAAGTTTAGAAGCATCTTCTTGAATCATCTATTGTGGGAGGATTCAATTGTGTTTTATCAATAGTTTCAATACAGGTAGCAGAGGTTCATTCCATCGCTGCCTCAACTTGTCTACAAACCCTTTTCAAGTTTCTAAACATCCTTTCTGCAGCTGCAAGGTTAGATGTTTTGGGGGCATGCATATATTGGCTTAGTACTCCAACAACATAGACAATATCTGGGCAAGTCATAGTGAGATACAATAGCCTCTCAATAAGTCTTTGGAATTGTTTAGCATCAACAACTGCTTCTCCCTCATCATTTCCAAGTTTGTCATTATAACCTATGGAGGATTTATCTGGTTTGGCCCCTAGCTTCCTAGTATCTTATAGAAGGTCAAGAACATACTTTCTCTAAGAGATGAAGATGCCTTTCTTTGAGAAAGCAACTTCAACCTAAGGAAATATTGAAGGGGACCCAAATCCTTCACTTCAAAATTGGAGACTAAGAACTCCTTCAGTCTTTTGATCTTTGGTTCTCAATTGCCATTGATGATAGTGTCATTGGCATACACAATGAATGCTACAATCTTTTCCTATTCCGTTTTTACAAACAGGTGTGATTCGATTGGCACTGCCTAAACCCTATCTATTGAACCACCTCATTAAATCTATTCAACCGAACCCTTAGAGATTATATAAGGATTTTTTTATCCAACAAATCTTATGTTCACTTCCTTTAACCTAAAAATCTGGTGGTTGAATCATGTACACCTTCTCCTCCAAGTCTCCATTGAGGAAAACATTTTTGACGTCCAATTTATAAAGACTCTAGTCAAGATTTGCCGCCAAGGAAAGAAGCATATGTATAGAATTCATCTTAGCTATAGGTGCAAAGGTCTTAGCATAGTCAACCCTGTACATCTGTGTGAATCCCTTTGCAACAAGCCTCGCCTTTTACCTCTCCACAGATCTATCAACACAATGTTTCACTAAAAACACCCATTTACATCTCATTGGTTCTTTTCCCTTGAGATCCACAAGTTCCCAAGTTTTGTTCTTATGGAGAGCACTCATTTCTTCTTTCATTGCATCTGTCCAATTAGGCATAATCAAAGCTTCTACAATCCTTAGGAATAGAAACACTAGAGATAGTAGACAAAAAATAGAAAGAAGATGAAAGGTTCTCAATGGAGGTAAAGTTAGCAATAGGGTGTTTGTGATGGGGATCAACTTAAGGCATATCAAAAGAGAACCAAAGCTGCTCCTATTCTCATTTGGCATCATTATGAAGACGTGGGGCCCACATGGGAGCTGGGTTAGCAATGCATTAACTTGGGAAGACCCTAGAGTCTTCAATCCACCTTAAGATGCTCTTTGTGTGGTTAAGCTTGATGCTTGACAGGACTTATTTGGTTTTCTTACATTTTTGGACAACAAGGGTATTTTTGTAACTTTGCATGTTTAGTGGGTTATGTTTGGGAACAGGTCTTAGTCTAGTAATTTCCCTTTGTTTGGCTTTATGTTTATAATTGTTTGGGGCAGGTTTAGTCTAATTTAGCTTCTTTTGTAAGTGGCTTATTGGGCAAGCTAACTTGGGGGGCAAGTTTCTTCCTTTGGAAGCTTCTTCTTATTAAGCTTGTAAGGCTCATTTGAGGAACAGTTTTTGCTGATGAACAAAGAAAGTTTCTCTACAGAATTTGGTGTGATTGCCAAGTTGGGGGTGTGATTTCCTAGGGTTTTATCTCATTTCCATCTCTTCTCTTCTTTCTCCATTAGTTCTTTGTTTGTGCTACACACTTAGACCTAAATTGGTTGCCAGAATAGTGCTGATTCACAAAGATCCTGCATCAGTTTGGTAGTACATGAATGGATACCATTACGTTTTGCAATGGGAATATTGAGGTCATTCATAGGGATACTATCAACAGGATCAAAGCATCAATAGGAATGCACCCAACTAGGAGGGACATGTACTACCTTCTAGGTTTGTCTCCAAGGAGTCTGGTGGTATCGGTTGCATGATTATTGATCTTTCCACACCTTCTGAACTTGCCTACTCCTTACAACGCCATTTACGTAAGAACACACAAAACAAATAGGTTTTGGAGAGGAGAGGCAGAGAAGTAGGGTTGACTCTCAAAAAAGGAAGCATCCATATAACTGCCCTCAGAAATCACAGATGTGTGGCCCCACAAATTAGAATGAACAATGTGAAAAGGAAAAGATGCTTCTTTATTAATTAAAGGAAATGAGGTTCCACAGGGAGGATAATAGGAGGTAAAGAGAGATGACTTACTAGTCATGTGGTTTTAAGCCCCTAAATCAATGATCCAAGGGGATTCTGGAGGAACAGAGGACACGTGGAAGGCAGAAGCATGATTACCTGCTGTAGAGGTAAATGAGGTAGATGGACGGACTATTGGATACTCCTTGTAACAAACATAGGACTCTAACACACTGCTCAAGTTGCTCTCTTAGGTAGCAGCTTCTTCTGGTTCTTCTTGGGTCTCCCAATCAGATCCCAATAGGTCTCCTTTGTATGTCTAAGTCGTTGGCAGTGAGTACACCAAAGTTTGTCCTTTTCATCACCTTCTGACTTCCTATTCAAATTAGTTTTCTTTACCCCACTGATACCACCCTTAGCCACCAGAGCAACCTGTTCCCCTCTGGAGGATTTATAGCATTCCTCCTACTCTCTTCAGATTGCACAAGTGCATGAGCCTCCTAAATTGAAGGAAACTCCTTAATATCCAAGATTTGCACTCTTACAGGTTCATATTATAGGATTCAGTCCCAATAAGAAAGCATACACTCTCTATTTTGAAACTATCTTCTTATAGGCCTTGGCATCACTGTCATCCTTCCAGTTAATAGTTTGATAATGATCTAACTCCTATTCATAAAAAAATAATGATCTAACTCCTTCCAGGTAGAGGTAAGTGCATAATAATAGGCAGAGAGAAAGGCTTGGGTGTCACCCTGTCACCCTGTTCACATTACAGAAGATTCTGCTAGTAACTGGTACACATGGGCATAGCGACTCTGCTTGGCATAGGTAGTCTTGGCCTGCTCCCAAATTTCCTTGTCAATTTTAGCCCATATAAAATTCCTTCTCACCTGAGGTGGCATGGAGGATAATATCCATGTCATGATTATACTGTTCTCCTGATCCCACTGTGGTCTACAGTACCCTCCTTTGGCTCCTTAATCTTCCCATTCAGATAACCAGTTTTACCCTTTCCAGTAACAAACAGCTTGACACCTTTGGACCAGTCCAGATAGTTCATACCATCAAGAGGCACAATTGCAGCAGGACATGTTACCCACGCTATTACCATTGATGGATGATGAAGTGATACCCGATATTGCTGATCTTCAGCAGCCATGTCGTATAACTGAGATCGCTATAACAGGATGGGTTTCTACAACAGTAAAGATAACTGATTACATAAGCCCTTAATCAAACTGAAAACACACTTCAAGTAGAACACAAGGCTTAACCATCAGATCTGCCAGGGTAGAACACAAAAAAATTGATATAATAAAAAGGATCTGGCTACCCAGGTTTCACAGACAACCACTAATGATCACCTGTTCACCTTTCTGAAGGAACAAACCTAGTCAGATCTGCACACCACTGATTGAGCAGGTTCTACTTCAGTGAATGATCACAAACACTTGATAGCAACCTAAAATAGGTTCTCCACATGCTTAGGACTATCAACTATACTGTTTTCCACTAAAAACTTGCAGTTGGAATACACCCCCTGCTACCAACAAATCCCACAATCCAAGAAAAACCATACAGGAAGTCTTCAAGCCTCCATTACAGTCCACTGGTCACCACAGGGGATGGTTCTCTTGCTGCCATGACCAAGGAACAGAGAAGAAAGATGAGGAAGAAGGGTTTCAGACCAACCCGGGCTCTTGTTTTGCACATCTAATCAAAAACAAAGAAGATCAAGATGGAAGAGATAGGAGAAAGATGAAATTGATCACAATTCCTGCTCTGATACCATATAATTCAATGAAGGAAGAAGAGAAAGTGCAGAAGAGAAGAGGAGAGGACAGTGAGAGAGCAAGAGAGACATGAAGAGAATGTTTGAGGGTCAAAAAGATGGGCTGGCAGCGCCCTCTACTTTATTTATATTAGGGTGAGGTCATAACAACTTAATAAAAGATAAAAGGACTAAAATACCCGTGGCAACAACCCCCACCACTGCTAGAGCATTGTTGTTATTTCTTCCTGGTGGTTAATCTGCCCACATTCTGCCAGTCACCTGTCGTATTGTTGCAAGTGGATGAATACCAATTGCTTCTATCTCCCAAGGTTCCCTGTAATGACACCAGACAGGCCTAAGGAGCTAAGGCCCAGAACTAGAGCTGCAGCCCACCAAGCCCTCACGTGCTACTTGCCTACCATCAAGCAAGTCTACAGTAGCCATGTAAGCATACAGTTGGGGAATTACATGTGGGTGGGAACCTACAGATTTTCTTTTTTTTGATAAGAAACAATAACTTTCATTAAAGATATTAAAAGGAGAGTATAGTTATCACCACCCAAAGGATGGACGGAAAAACAGAATAAAAGTCTTATAAACAAGCCCAAAACAAAGTCTCCCTAATAACTCATTGCTTAGTTAATGTGTCAGCCATTCCATTTGCTGACCTTCTTACCCAATTAAATTGCACCCCAAGTTACCTTGATATGCTAAACATCTCTCTTAGAGGTTGTCTAAGTGACCAACTGACCATACTCCCTAGTTTCTAGATTGCATCCACCCTATTACCAGCTTGGAGTCTCCTTCCACTTCTAAGTGTTGCATATCCCATTGTTTTGCCAATTTCAGTCCTTGAAGTAAGGCTGTGACTTCTGCCCTCAAGGAATCTCCCACCCCAATTGGGCCCGAGTAAAGGGCCAAAACTCTTCCTTATTTCTGAAGACACCCCCAACTCCCAACGAGCCTGGATTACTTAATGAGCTTCCATCAAAGTTTAATTTCACCCCGAACTGAGACGGTGGTAACCAAACCTCTTGAATTACAAGGGAGAAGGGAGAGGAGACAACTATAGAGCTCTAATTTCTAATTAAGTCAGCTGAGGAGAAGTCCTTGAAAAGTTGCTGCACTTTCAATGGCCTCAACAAGTGCTTCTTTGGATTTTTCTTGTCCTTGGAAAATCCTATCCCAAATTGACCAAAGGATGGCTTCTCTTGTTATTCTCCACATTACCCTGCCTCTTTTCTTTGGTTGTTGGAAGAAGCTAGAGTCAAAGAGATTCAGCACACACGAGGGGGGATTCCATCTGCAACCAAAAAGAGAAGAGAACCAATCCCACAAACAAGAAGCAAAAGGACAAAAAATCAAAAGATGAGTCACCATCTCACCACTTCTTAAGCAAAGGCAACAGGCATGTGGGGAAAGGCACCAATCTGGCCTTTTTCTTTGAAGTACATCCATAGTGTTGATCTTTTGGAGAGCCACTTCCTAGCAAAAAGCCCTAACCTTTGGTGGAACATGAGTACACCATACTTCTTTAGTAGGAAAGGAGATAGGCACGGTAGAAGGCTGAATTAGGGCATTGAAAAAAGAGGAACAAGAGAAGGCCCCTGAATAGGATTCTGTTCAAATTCTACTGTCTGGGCAAGAATGATCTAGGAAAACTGAGTTCAACACAGAGAACAATTCATCTGCACAAGCAAATTTTGAATCTCTCAGTCCTCTTCTCAAACCCAAGTCCTAGGTCCCCTCAGATACATAGAAAGAGGAAATGACTTTGAATTTTATTTAGGGAAAGAGAATAAATTACCGGGAATCTGTCCTTAAGGGGGATGCTCCCAAACCAAAGATCCTCCCAAAACAGAATTTTATTGCCTGAGCACAGATCAAATCTGATGAAAGGGCGAAAGAAAGGCAAGACTCCAGCAATGGCTTTCCAAGGGGAGAAGTGAGTAGCCCTAGGGTCGACACCAGCATCCCATCCATTAGCTGCCATCCCGTGAATACTTTCCACCACTAAGTGCCACAAACTGCTCTAGGGGAAATCTCCATAACCACTTTCCTAACAATGGCAAATTTCTTAATCTAATATTTGCCAATGCCTAAACCCCCAAAGTCCTTTTTCCTAGAAACTACTTCCAACTTCACTAGATGGTCCTTTTTTGAGTCTCCCGGTTCCCACAGAAAATCTCTCATGATCTTTTCTATCTTATTGGCAACTTTGACATGTAACTTGAAGGTAGACAAAAAATACACTGGAAGGTTTGTCAAAGTGGACTTGATTAGAGTGATTCTACCTCCTAGCGAGATATAATTCCTCTTCCACCCTGCTAGCTTCTTAGTGAACCTTTCTAAAACTGGGTACCAAAAGCTTTGTTGTAACCTACAGAGTTGGATGTAACTGAATTCTCTGAGATCTGGATGTAAGCCGATATAAGTCCAGATAAAATGAAATGGAGGAACTGGAATTTGAATTTTGAACTCTCTCTCTCTCTCCCTCTTCTCTCTCTTCTTCTCTAACTCTCTCCCTCTCTCTCCTCTCTCACTCCAGTCCATTTCAGGAGGTGGTTTCCTGTTTTCCTTGAAGAAACCCTGTAATAGGTAGGAACCTATCATTCCCCTGCTCCATTCTCTGGCCCAAATAGCTCCTTACAAAGTATCCCTTCTTCTGCAATAACTATCTGCATCTCCTGCAGCTGGTCTGCAACACTTATCGCTGTCGCTATCAAGTGGCATGCCAGCTTCTTGCTAGACCTCTTGAATCGCTTTTCACTCAGTCTTTGAGCTTTCTCAGTCTCCTTGAACCTCCTGCACAGCTGCACCCACTATCACTGTTTCTACTTGCCCTTGCTCCGCCTCTCTTGCTGAGATTCCGCAACTAAACCTTGAACCATCCTCCCCTGCTTCCAATCTAATAGGATGTGGCTCATCTTGAGTCAATATGGCTTGGGTCCGCTCAGTCTCGCAGCTTGGTCCAACTGGGAGTCAAACCAACATTTGCTTCCTACTTGGACCACTTAAATGATTTCAACCTGCTCTCTCTTCTTAATCACTTCATCCTTTTCTATCTATTATTTGCTGCTCTCTTCTATTTACTCTGCTGCAATCTCTAATCTCATCTTCTTAGCTATCTCTTTCTTCAACCACTACATACACACTAGTGGGACTTGTTTCCTTCATGTCCTCCTTGCAATCAGATCACTTAATTATGGAATGTAATAGACAAGTGATTCATTCTATTTGGTTAGTTTGTCAGGTAGTTCAGTTCTAATATGTACGGTATTATGGTGTTTTTTTTGTTGGAATAGTCTTTCTCATATTCCTTTAATACAATTAGTGAATGTTCAGTTGTTTATTTTCTCTTCTTAGTTTTACATAAATCTGCTGCGAGTTCAACTCCTTTGTAGTCTTCTTCTTCCATGTTACTTTATAGTCATTATTATGGTAATTACTGATGTTGTTCAGTGAGAGCAATATCTGACTCTCTCCTATTGTATTGGTGTTTCATGCCAGATCTTTTGTCGTGGCAGCAAGAATGAAACAAGGGGCTATAGGTAATCTCCTATTTTTTCTCATTTTGTTGTAATTGCTGTCACTATAAAAGGCATTACCCAATGTTGGTCCCAGCTATCTGGGGTGTTGGGAGGGGTGAACTGGATGAGGAACTGTCACTGTGATCTATTATATTGTTTGGTTTGCGTAATGCTTAACTTCTACTTGTGTGATCCATTTATTCTAGGCATCATGCATTTTTCAGTTGATAATGCAGGAGGAATAATCGTATCTAAGATTCTCCCAGTTTTATGTATTTATGGATAGCTAGGTTATTTTCTTAGGGATCGTTTGGTAACAACTGAAGTGGCTGAGCTGAATGAATTATTGCTTTGCCTTTTAGTGGATAAGTTATTAATGAGGTTGTGAGCTCCTTAATGGACAAAGCTAAAGCTGAGTTGATTACTATACTCTCGAATACTTTACTAATTAGTTATTTTATCCACTAAAAGACAAAGCAATGAACCATTCAGGAAAGGATTTTGTGGGGGACTGTTTCCAAATTCAGGAAGGTCAAGTGGTGTAGACCCCGAAATTGAGAAGGAATGTCCATGATCAGGAGCTGGAGTTGGTATCCTTATTGGAGATGGTAAATAAGATCCAACCCAACCCAAACAGGGAGAGCCAAATATGTTAGAGGGCAGGGCAGGGTGTTAAATTCTCAGTGGGCTCCTTTTTTATCAAATTAATCGAGCAGAGAGGACAAATGGTGGATTGGAAATGAATTTAGAAGTCCCAGTCTCATCAAGGGTGTTGTTCTTCATGTGGAGAGAGCAGTCCTCAATAAGCTCTCCACTTTTGACCATCCACAATCCAAAGGCATATGGCTAGAAAACAGACGTAGTGTGTGTTCTCAGGAGGACAAATCAGTGACACACCTATTAATGTGCCATCAACATTTGGTCATACTTCCTACACCTCTTAGGGTACCAGTGGCTCATCCCAAAGGATACCCACACACTTTTATTTTCTTGGCTAATCAGTTGTCTTAGTAAGAGGGGTGCCATCCTGTGAAAGATGCTTCTATCTGCCATTTGCTGGGGAATATGGGAGGAAAGGAACAACAAAAATTTCAGGGGAAAAAGCTCTACTAGTAAGGATGATCGACCTTGTGGAGAAACCATTAGACTTCTAGTCAAGGGTTCTTGAGGAATTCCATAATTTTAGATGCTCTCACTTTTGTAGTCAATGGCATAGAGCTATAGATTTTGAGCTCCTAAGCTCATGACATACATAATAGAGAAAATCTGTGGGCTGTATCTGGTGCCCATCTTTTTGTAAAGCCTGCATGGGACAGGATTCTAACTGTTGATCACCTAATCCATAGAGGAATGGTAATGGTTGTAGACAACACTTGCTCTCTTTGTGGGGGAACCCAGAATTGGTTAATCATCTCTTAATCCACTGACCTGTTGTCGTTCACTTGGTGTGGTCATTTTTGAACCTTTTTCAGATGCAGTGGTTGTCTCCACTGATTCTGGCAGAGCTTCTTACTTCTTGGAGGGCTCAGGGTTTCTCAAGCAGATGGGAGATTCTGTGGAGGCTGGTGCCCTTTGCTGTTTGTTGGAACGTGTGCAAGGAAAGAAACAGTCATATTTTTCAGTCCAAGGCATCACGAAGGAGCAGCTTATTGGCAAAATTGAGAGGATTTTGGTCTGGTGGGCAGGGGTTTTGAAGCAATTCTATGATGTTACAAGTAGTTGACCCATCATTGGACTGACATCATTTTTGATAGTCACCAACAGAACATAATGTACATGTCATAGTATATATTGATATACATCTTGTAGGATTTTTGTGAGGGTTCCTCACCCTCTTTTATTCAGCATAGTAATGCAGTTATACACCATTTATAAAAAAAGTTAAACTTTATGACACCTCTAGGTCCTCTACTACATGGTTTTCACTGCATTTAAGCTACTACTTTTTTAAGGAAGCTTTGGCTACCTCCATTTTGTAATTACATCATTCAATGTTGTAAGATTCAGACTGGACCGGATGTTCAGAATGTTCAACCTGGGAACCAGAAGGTATTCCGGTTTATCGAGTCCCAGTTTTCAATTTTTTGAAAAAACTGGTAGAACTGGTCAAAACCCAGAAGAATTGCTGAAAACCGGCCGAGTTTCAAGTTCAACGACCCAACTGGTTCTCACAACTTTCCCGGGTCACTAAATCAATCAAACACTACGACACTAATAGGAAGAATTGAACTCATGACCTTTTAGTTATGTCCGTTGCCTTGTTAACATTAATCCATCTTGTTATTTACATTCATTTATCTGTCTATCTATCTATCTATGCTTTAATGCACATATAATCTGTAGAAAGTGTGAGTTGTACGACTTGAACCCTGATCATTTGCATCAATAATTAAGTAACAAACCATCTAGCCACCATGATGTAACTATAAATTATATTATATATGTTATTTTGGTGATTCATGGTCAAACCGTTTGACCTACAACATGGCAAAGATTCTAGTTTTGTGTCCGGTCTGGATCTTAGAACATTGATGTCATCTGTTGAGAATGCTGAAAAGATATCCATGGTTTTATCCAATGCACCACTCTCACAGTGGTGCACTTGATAATGCCTCATTTGTGCATCTTTTCTCTTGAATAACCTCACATTCCTTTCTTCCCAAAATGTCCAAATGACTGCTGCCCTGGTGCACCTATGTAGACAAACTTTTCTAGAGAATGTCATGTTCTTTTCTTTTACATTCCAATATCCATGCATACATGTTAATAAAATTTCTCTTTTTTTATCAGCAAAAGGAATTGATTAAATTAAGATTTGAAGTTAAAGTACAAATGCCGAAACACTCCAACCAGCCCTAAGTATAAAACCATCATCATACAACCAAGGATGACCAAGTATGATATGTTTTAACTTCATAGGACAACACCACTAATCATGATTATGGTCATGTGGCATCAATCCAATTTTTATGGGAGTGTCAACGTAGTTACACCCAAGTCTAAATTTTCATAGAGTGAGTGAACTCTCTCTCTCTCTCTCAAGATGCGATCTCTTTTTCCACCCTTCCTCTTCTCCTTTTCTTATATGTTTCAGATCTGAAATACTTGTACTTTCTCTTCCTTTTCCCTATCATCTTCATTGCCATCATCATCATCATCATCTAAAAACTGTCCTAATTATATGGAGTTGGCTAGTTCAGTGCCATATCCAGCGTTAAATTATGAGTGCTTGAGTTCTTTCTCTCATATGGGATTAACTACTTTCTCTTCTTTCTTCCTATATCAGATTTTAATTCTTTCTTTCTCATCCTTTTAACCCACCATTGCTAACTAGTTGGACTTTTTCTTTCCTGTCCTGCAGCAATCTTTACCCCCCCGGTGAAAGAGCTCCAGCTCTCTCAAATCCCCTGGCTGTTAAATACCTAGCCTATCTGGTATGATGATGTAAAGGCCCCTCACAATCCTCTTCTATCATATTTTTTATCAATGACTGTAAACTTTCATTAATATTAAGAATATGGTATGGTATGAGGATTAAAAATACAAAGTAAAGACTGAGAGATAAAAACACTTATCTCTCCCCTTAACAGCACCCCTCTCTTACAATTGCGCCTAGAAAAGAACTTGTCATCCCACCCATTGCTTGGCTAATGTCTTCCATGTCCCTTGTTAACCACCTGAATTTTTTCTTCTAATTATTGTAAATCCACATCTTCATTCCCTCACTTTGAAGCCAATTTACAACCAATTGCGAATCCCCTTCTACTATTAACTTCCTAATGTTCCAAGTCCTTGCCCTTTGCACTCCTTTTATCATTGCCAAAACCTCTGCTCTGAGACAGTCTTCCTCCCCTACCAGGCCTGAGTATAAAGCAATAATTCCCCCCTCTTCATCCCTAAATACATCTCCAATTCCTGATAGTCCTGGGTTTCCCATGCTACTATCATCAAAGTTTGATAAATCTTGTTTCTGGTTAGGACCAAGGATGAGTAGTAGCAGCCTTGTTTGGAGCAGAAATTGACACTTCCTTCCAATTTCTAAGAATGTCATCTGTAGTAGCATTAGAGAAGATTTTTAGAGACTTAAGCTAGTGGGTGACCCTAACTTTTCCATGAATATACTTGACTTCTTTCTTCGCATATCATCCATAATATTGCCGCTCTAGTGCATCTCCACATTAGTCTTCCCTTCTTATTTGGCCATGGGGAAGGAAGTTGGAGCAAATAGACCTTGCACATCACCTAGAGGATTCCACCTACACCCAACAAAGAGAGAAACCATTCCCAAATATATGCAGTCAAAGTACAAGAGATAAGTAAGTGGTAACGGTTCTCATCGTTAGCTTTGCATAAGACACACCAGTGTAGGGATAAACTCCAATTTTTGCGCTTTCTTTGAAGCAAATCACAAGTGTTAATCTTTTCGTGGACAACTTCCCAACAAAAGCTCCAATCCTAAAACGAATAGGCTTGCACCATATCTCCTTTGTTGGGAAAGAAGGCAAAGAACTAATGGAGGGTTGGAAAGGGCTCTAAAGAATGAAGCACAAGAGGAGCCAAAAGGAGCATTTGTCCATATCGGCCATCCAGCTTAGAGGGATCAAGGAATACTTCTTCCAACAATTGGAGCAAGCTCATCACATTTTGAAGCTTAGAATCTCTTATGCCCCTCCTGAATCCTAAGTCCTAACTTATTGAAGGGATGGGAGATCCATCATATGGATGGCCGAACTATGCAGGGTGGCTGGGCGAAATTTCAAAAATTTCTTTCTCCCATCTGGGAATCCTATTCCATGATTTAGAAAAACTGCATTTTTCAAGATTCGTTCTTGAAACAAACCGGACCAGATCTGAAACCAAAATTTAGCAAGTAGGAAAATACCTGATACAGAATAATAGTAACTCCCAACGTAGGTGTTCACGCCCAAAGAGTTGACCAAAACCCGCCTCCACTGAAGATGACACAGCTTATGGTGAGGTAGGATCAACAGGATGGTTCTTCAGCAAGAACCCTGATTCTT